TCTTAGGTTATTCTTGGGGTATTCTCAGGTTATTTCCGGGGTATTGTAAGGTTATTGTTTGGGTATTTTTAGGTTACTCTCGGGGTATTGTAATGTTATTATCAGGGTATTGTTAGATTATCCTTGAGGTATTCTAAGGTTATTATTTGAGGTATTCTAAGGTTACGGTTAGGGTATTCTAAGGTTACGGTTAGGGTATTGTAAGGTTACTCTTGGGTTATTCCACAAGCAGATAACAAAATTTTGTACTCAACAGACAGATAAATTACAAACCATATATCTACAACTTTCAATTGGAATAATGTTATATGAACTTGTACATTGATACAGATAAGTTAATGTGGGTATAACACGTTATAACAGGTGAATTATATTGGGCACAGAGCATGTTGGATTCGGTGTGACAATTTCCTGACTCAGAGAGTTTGACGCCGCAATCGTATTTGCGTCGTAATTCCTGTGCGATTCTTGTGTCATATATGTTTCTTGATTTTTTCCTACGAACAGTGGTAAAATAATAAGACAATTAATTTTACATATAATCGTTAGTATATGGAATGTAGAATGGTAAATATATGTAATGTAGAGATATATACCTTTAGCTCTCTTATTTTTTTCCCAGTGTCCTTACAACCTCGCATTAGAAATATCTTTCGGTCTCATTTTTGCAGGATCATTCACATTGCAGTCACTGTTATGGGATTTCCTCTTTTTGTTTGGCCTATTTGGTTTAGGATCATTCTTATCTAATATATCCTCAATACCTTCGGACCCTGTTTCAATAATTCAATTATATATGTCTCGGCACGTTCATTTCTGTTAGCTTTATTAATTAATTGGTAGGCAAACTTTTGAGTATGTAACCGAAATAAGATTCCTCTGGATGTGCCAGAAATTTGAGCCCGAGAGTTTTTCATATGTTTGTATTCAAAACTATAAAAGATATATTTCTTTGCCTTAGCAGACCATCTGAATAACAAACATTTCTCGGGAATCTTTGTTATATTATTAGCATTAAGGACGCGTATACAGTGAGAGCAAAGCAGACCTGTCATTTCGAATTTCTTGCAACTGCAGGTGATGTCGCAATTGAGTCTATCAAATGTAACAAGTCAGGCTCTACTTGTGTCCTGATTATCCAAACCTCTAACATAGAATTTGGATGGACTCTCAACTGAGGAATCGACTGTCAATCCACATAGCCCGTGAAGTAACTTTTCCTCAAACATAGAGTAGAGTTTCCGGGTATAATATGTTGCAGCTTGTCTCAACACTTGGCTTGTTTTAACTGTCGGTGTAATAACATTTTGAAAGCTTTTGAAGTCTTCATCCTTTTCGTTCCTTCTCCATGACTTCATAATATTTTCTAACCCCAGAAAGCAATCTGTTAGTGAACTAGTGGGCTTAGATGCATCATGACAAACATTATTTGTGGACTCACTTCTTTGAGTAGACAAGATTCTCATTCCAAAAATTTCTTTATTGAATGCAGTTGACCAGTTATGTCTTATACGGTACAATGTATCTAGCCACATG